CGGCTGCGCGGCGACGCGGCGCCAGTTGCGTGATTTTGCCGGGATGCGTGAGTGCAGAGCACTTTCACTAGCCGGCCCAATATTTCCCAAAGTGGGCATCATTTGCCCTTCCCCCGGTGCAACCCACGCGTGCGGCATATACCCACGTGGGGTATTATCGGGAAATCCGGGTCAGGACGGAGAAGAAGCGGGCCCGGCCCAAGCCCCGGCCCAAGCCCCGGCCCAAGCCGTAGGGCACTGCTGTCGCACTTAGGCCCGCACGAAGAAGCGGGCGCGTGGGGGCGAAAGCGCCTTTCAAAACGGTCGTCAAAATTTTATATGCAGTGATCTAGACCGTGTGGACGAACGATGATCCGTGAGGCATGGCGCGGTAGTCCGTCCAAAATGTTGCGCCCCTTTTAGAACGAAAAGAACCTCGAAAGTTCCTACCCACATCAGCAGACTCATGCCTGACAGCAACCGGAACAGCCCAGAAAATTCGCTATTGGTGCTAGTAAATTTACTTGGTTCAAGAAACTGCTTTTCGGGGTGTATGTGATATTCTCATTTCAAGTCGGTATGCTAAGTTTGCGACAGTGTGCCAGAGCTTTCATGACGTGGTGCCCGGCGTGCGGTGCCTTGCCACTCACTCACTGTAGGGGCGGAACGCGCCACGGCCGCAATGACGCGGAAAAGCTTGCCCTTTTGAAGAGACACGGCGCAGGCCTTTGGCCGCCTTTGGCGCGGCCCCGGCCACGATTTGGACCAACACAATGAGCTGTAAGTGCCCGCTGTTTAGAATACTACTCTTGTTCGCCATGATCGGCGCGCGCGCGCTTTCATGTGCCGGAAACAGACGAGCCGTGGCCGCTGCCGCTTGATTAGTGCCTGCAGGACAAAAGAAAGGCGAAAAAAAAATGACAGACGCACGGCGGTTCGTATGAGAAAGTGAGAGGCAACGCAACGCGCAGCGGCGCAGCGTGCTGCACCCACCGCGTGTACCAGTTCCACATTTCCACGTGAATGGCACAGTGACACTTTTTGGATGTGGTTTGTGGCACATCTCCCCAAAACTGGGATTGCCGTGGTATTATTGCGTGTGAACTGCAGCTTTAAGACAACTTCATAACCAAGTGTCCAAAAGGGGGAAAAAAGTCGAAACCTTTTTCTTTTTTTTTCGTTTCATTTTGTCGGTGTTAATCATATTTTGAGATATTTTAGGAACTGTAGAAAATGCCACGCTATAAACCCATATGATGCACGAGAAACGTGTATGCTTTGTCGTTTACTCGCTTGATATGCGTGCTTGGCCCGCGCCGGAACTTTTTCCACTGCACTTCGTAGCCTCGTATGATTGCGCCCCGGCCACAACGAGGCGCGCCCGGTTCGGCAGACGGACTTATGCAAAGCGGATCGCAGTGTGTCCGGCCGTGCGTTGCCAGTGGCGTGTCGCGTGCGCCGAGGCGTGCGTCGCCGTGACGACTGCCCCACTGTTCGCACGCCGCTTCCCCGAACAAAGGTGCGGCCGTCCTTGGACAAAACGTTCATGTCGAAACGAGTCGCGCCGTTCTGGGTCACGTGTCGCGAAAGGAAGTCCGTCGCATTGAGCAACAATAAGGGGCCCGCGCTATCCTGGCGAGACTGTGGGGTATTGAGTGATTCGGAGCACAACATTTCGTTTGTGGTGTCAGCGATCGAAACCGAAATATGGGGAGTGGTTTTACCCCGGTAAAGTACCCCACCCCCACAGTGATTTTGCCAGAGGGGTGGACCTGCCATCACCCTATACCGACTGCTGGCTGCCGGTCGGACGGTGTAGGTTCGGATGCTCGGGCACTTGTCGCGAAATGTTTGCATTAAACCGAATTTACTGGCTCTTCTGAAGCGACTTTAACGACGGGCCGGGCGCGGGGCGGGGCGAGGACGGCCCGCATTCCCCCGGCGTACTGAGGACTTCCTTTGAGGCGGTTTATCCGAAATAAGAGGTTCGAGGGAGAGAGCTTTCCTCGTCGCCGCGTTCCGTGTTGTCGTTTTTCCGCGCTCGTTGGACACGTACGCGATAACTCGACCCGGCCGTCCCGTTCGGCCCCTGAGAGCGGCGCGGCTTCGGCGCGGCTTCGGCGAGCCGCCTTGCGGCCCGTATTGCACATTTTCGCATTTCTCAACTTTCCTCCGCCTCACTTTTTGCGCCGCCGCCGCCGAGAGGCACTCGTAATAACGAAAGCGCGCGCGTTCCTTAATTTTTGGATCGCGGAGCGGGCGAGGGAAGCCGCGGCGGTCGTGAATTTCCGACCAGATTTGGGCGGCGCGTCCGTCCGCGGCATTCCGTCCGCGCGGGCCGCGCCCGTAAAAAAATGAGTCATTTATGAAGGGAGACGGTGACGCTGCCGCCGCGTGGCCGCGAACGCACCCCGGGGGAAAGTGGTGCGTCCGAACGCGGCCTGCCGTCGGCCTGCCGCGCGCTCTCTCGCTCGCGCTCATCTAGATGGCGGTGACAAGGACACGCTGCAGCGCGCGCCGCCTGCAGCAGTCCCTGCAGGAGAAGCCTGATTAGAGTTATTGTAGTCTGCACCAGCCCATCTGATGGCGGGCCGGCCGGGCCGGGGCGGGGCGGGGCGCTCGGGTAAGACCACTTTCGATGCCACAGTGGACTCCGCGGTCTGTACCGGCTCTGGGCTGCAGTCGTGCACACAGGCGGACGGCCGGGCAGCCCAGCCGCGCCGAGGGCGGCCGAGGGCGGCCGGGGGCAGGGGCCCGCTTTTCGAAGGTCCTAGCAGTGTAGTGCTTATTGTAGTGTCCGCGCATCTGCCTTGTGCTTTGTGGCTGCCGCGCTGCGGCGCTCACAGTGCAGGTGCGGTCGCAGGGACAGCTGCAGGTGGCGCAGGTGCTACCGGCCGCACGGCGCCGCACGCCGCCGCACGGTGGTCCGTACAAGCCCCGTGTAATTTGTCTCGGCGAAAACGGCAACGAGATAAGCGATATACCTTCTTTGTGCCGTTCCGACCCGTCCTATCGCTCTCCACCGACTATCTGCTTCGTCTTCTTTTTCCCGCACCCCTCTTCTTCCCTCTTGCATTCCTCCTTTCCCTCCTTCTTCTTCTTCTTCTCTTTCTCTCTCCCGCCCCTTCGTCCGCCGCCTGCGGAAGGCAGGATAGGCAGCGCCACGAGGCACGCGCGTGCTGCGGGCCGGCCTTGCACCTATTGGTGGTGCCCCCGTGAGTGCGAGAGGGACAGAGCGATGAAAACGACTCTCGGAATCAGTGTGGTGTGCTGCTCGAGAGGCCCGAGGCAGGCGCTGGTCTTGTTTCGCGTTCGCACTCATCTCTCGGCCCGGCCAGCGCGGCTCCGAGGCTCCGAGGCTTCGCGGCTCGCAACGGGATCGACACGCTCATGTCGCTCAGCGTCTCCGGGCGTCGCCGCGGCGTCGCGACGCGTCTTGTTCGGCCCATTGCAGTGCCAGGCTGGCTGGCTGGCTGGCTGGCCGGCGGCGCCACGCACTGGCAGGCAGGCAGGCAGTACCACACGTCCGGACGGATGGACGGCAGCGCGGCGCGGCGGAGTGAGGGGCTAATGGATGGACGTGCCGGCTCTGCCCTGGCGCTGCCGGGCCTGCTTACTTTTCTCTGCTCCGCTTCGGGATCTCGGAAGACTCGGCCGGGGGCTCGGCACACTCGGAAGGAGGCGCAAGGGCCCTTTTGCAAAACGACCGCGCGTTTGCCTTCCCCGGACAACTCGTGTTGTTGTTGTTGTTTGCTGAAACTGCCGCGGGGCGGCGTGAGTGTCGCACAGCGCGCGCTGTGTCGGGGTGACCCGTTCGTCGCTCCTTTTCGATAGTATCGACTCGCACATCGACATATCGATAGCTGTTTATGACGGCCGTTGTGGTCCCGTTGGGACAACGCCTGCCGCTCCAAATCGTGCCGACACTTGTTTTTATTTGCGCGCCGCCGCCGCCGGTCGAAAACGCTTGAGCGGTCGAAACGTCGGAACGTCGGAACCGGCGGCGGTCGAAAGTACAAGGCGTCGCGCTGCGCGCTGCGCGTCCTCCGGAGCGACGCGGGTATCATTTCATGCCCCGCGCCGCCCCGCGCGGCTCGCAGACATTTTCAAAGGCCAGGCAATCCTTTTCCCTTGAATTTATCCTTTCTCTAGGAGCGTTCTGCCGCTGCAGCCCATACTGCGCGCTTTTTTGTCTCTTCGGCTCGTAAAATGAAGCCGAAGTGATAATAATAGGGTCACGGCGCGTTGACGTCGCGCGGGGCTCCCTTTACTTTTTACGACGCCGAGCCGGCGGGGCTGGCAGTCCAGGCGGGGCAGGCAGGGCTGGCAGCAGCTAAGCCGATTTTCATCCCGCAGAGTAAATACAAGCCAACGGCTAATGCGGCTAATGTTGCGGCGATGATGAGTGATGGATGCACTCCAAGTTTCCGCGCGCCCTTCGCCTGCAGTGGAAAGCAACCACGCGCCGCGCGGTCACCATCCGGCCGAAAACCATAAGGAGCACCGTGGGGTTGACGTCGATGATTAGCGGCTGTTTTGGTTGGTGAGGGTAACCATTGGGGCTGCAGTGACCATGTAGCTGCCTCCGATGGTGATTATAACCATAGGGTTGAATGCAGCCGCGTGGTTGACTTTCATTATGATCATCAATAGTTTGGTTGCAGCCGCGATCATGCCGTTGACATTTAAGAGGGTGACCATTGGTTGCGCGTCACGTCGATAACGACAACGGTCCCAGTGGTCAAATGGCTGAAGACGATGGCGACAACCATTATGGTGGTTGCAGCGGACGAAAACAACCACGGCGACTCCTACCGGTGTGTGGTTGATAATGACAACTGCGGTGGTTGCAGCGGCCGTTTGGTTGCTAATGACAACCGCCGCGTCAACCGGCGTCCCGTGCGGCTGCTGCGCGCTGCGCCGTCAAGAGAGGGGTGCCTCCGGGGCCCCCCTCTCTCCGGCGGGTCCGCGCCGGGCCGGGGGCCGCGCCGGGCCGGGCGTGCAGTTGCCGGAGAGTCGCGCTCGCAGACGGACCAGCCGAGACGGTGCCGCACGCCGTGCCGGAACACGCACTTGTTGTACGTGCGCGCGACCGCCGCGACCGCCGCGGTGCTGGCAGTGCAGATGTGTGCCATAATCCGGTGGTAGTGCGTCCAAGTGAATGTTGTTGCTCGGAGGGCCGCCGAAGGGGCTGCCGACAGGGCCACCGCCGGCGCAACATTGAGTGACACTGTGTGCGCGTGCTGGTGTGTGTGAGTGTGCGTGTGTGAGTGTGTGTGTGTGTGTGCCATGGGCTGGTGACAGACAGTGGATGCCGGAGGATACCCGCTTGGATAATGCCGAGGTGACTGAGGATACCAGCAGACGAGATGCTGCCGCGGGACCCTCACTACCACCCTATCTGATCAGGTGAGTGCGCAATGCGGTGCTCTGGCCCAGAGGCGTGCCGAGGCGTGCCTAAGGCGTGCTAAGGCGTGCTAAGGCGTGCCTCGCTGAATCCGGCAGCGCGGTGGCAATGTCTTGCGGGCCTTGCGGGCGCGAGGGCGCCAAAGGCGGTTCCCACCGCGGATGTCGCTCGTTGCCGCGCCAGTTATTGTTCGGGACGAGCTTTTAAAAGGCCGCGGCTTTCAGAATCACTCATTAGACGAAGGGAAAACGGGCCGAGGGATGTCCACACCGTGCCGCCGTCCCCGGCCGTCCGCTGGGCCGCTGGGATGTGGATCTGGGGCATTGGAATGGCACAGGAAGTTAGCAAGCGGCACGTCCGATTGCCCTCCAAACACTCAACGTCCCCGCGCTAGCGCGGCCGGCGCGGCCAGCGGCTTGATCCAAGCCGATAAAGGGCTTGCCGGCCTAAGGCAGCAGAAGGCCTCGCGCCGAGTGCGTCCCTCGGCCCCTCTTCCTCGTCGCTCGCTCTGGCTGCGTGCAGCAAGGCCTCTCCGAATTGGTGGAAGCTCTCGGATGAGACGAAGAAGAAACGGTCCGAAGCTGAAGCAGCGGAGGAAAAGAAACTCTGAACGCCGCCCTTCATTCAAGCTCTTGATGAGAAGGGGTCCGAGTGACATTCCGTGTTATTAATAAGGCTCGTATTTTAGAGCGCCGGGATTGGTCGGTCTTTGTGTCGCCGTGAGTGATCCGGACTCAATAGGACGACCGCGGCTTGTCGGCGCGGGGCAGGGCGGGGCGGCTCACAGCCGCAGGCCGCAGTGCTCAACAGAACCTCAAATTCAGATTAGAGCCGCTCTGACATCTCTCCAAAGCCCCCATGTCCTTAGTGAACGAAGCACAAGAATTTTCTCCTTAGAAACAAAAATAATTTGTCAAAACTGTCCCGGACAAGACACCTGGAAAAATGGTAAATTATTTTAAATTGTAGCAGACACTGACCTTCTAAGCTAACAATTCCAAAAATTGAAAAAAAAATGCCATTATGTATCCAAAGTGTCAATTTTAAACAACCTTGCGGATTCTAAATCATACCGGAACATACTACATGTTGTCATTGTACCATCGCCGCTGGCCTGGATAGATAGGCGCTCTCCCAATATGAATGCAAATGAGAGTGGCCTGTAAATGAGACGTTCATTATCTTTACGACCCGTGTCGTTCCTCACCGTGAACAGCTCGCGCTAGTTTCTTGAACAAATAATGACCCTCCCAATTAAACATCCATTTTGGTTCGGCGTGCATTGGCGGGGCTTGCCCGCTCTGCTCCGCTTTGCGCGGCATTGTCCGCCTTGTTGGTCGGACGGACGAGTGTGTGGCATTTCTCTTTGACTAAATACGCTTCGAGGAAAAGCGCGCCTCGCCTCGGGCCGGATGAAGGACGGGCCGCTGTGTGCGGCGTGGCGGCGTGGCGGCGCGCGCAGCCTCGAAGCGGAAGTGCTGTACTTAGAAGTACGTAACCTAGAGCTCCAAATAAGTCCTTGCAGAATTCATTCGGAGTGATTGTCCCATTAGAAATTATTTTTACTGGTTTCTTCATGGTGGCCGGCCAGTACGGAATTTCACCATCACAATTTTTTTTTAGCAGACGCTTGAACAAAGTAGGTAACCTAGTGCGCACAGCCTGCCAAATACGTCCACACAGAATTCATTCAGAATAATTTGTCCCTATTAGGAATCATTTTTACTGGTTCTTCATGGCGGCCGGTCTGATGGACTCTTGCCGTCACAAATTTTCAGCAGGCGCGTTTACAAAGTACGTAGACCCCTTTGGTGTGGCACTTAAACGAGCGACATTTTTCGCTGTGCGCCGCGCCGCGACACCGGCACTTACCTTGTTGCTGCGTCACTAAGAGCATTTGCGCCACGACTTAAAGCGGCGGATATTTTTCAGCGAGTCGAACGAAACGAAGCCCTTTTTCTTTCTGGCTTTTGCATACGCCTCAAAAACACGGCGCCTAATTGCAATGGGTCCGATTGAGCGTCTAGCCTTGCCCAGCCCGGCCGTAACAATGGCAGAAAAAAAAGATAACTGTATATAACGCCTGTTAGACGCACTGTAGCTGTAAATGAGAACAACGAAGTTGTGATGAATGTACATGTTGCCTAATTGCCACGGCTGCAGCGCGCTGACCGGCGAACAACGGCCCCCAGTGCCGCGGGTGCCCCGGCCGGGCACCGCGCGTTGACTTTTCAAGAGAGGTGGCAGCCAAAGTAGTGTCAAAAGAAGCAGCGGACTTAACGTCAAGGGTAACAGCAGGAGCAGCAGCAGTAAAAGTAATAGCACGAGAAGGAGGAGAAGTAGGAGAAGAAGCAGCAGTGGTCTCTGAAGCGGATCGCCACCGTTAGGTGCTGTATGAGGCACCACGGGCAGCGTCAGCGGGAACGTCAGACGCAGAGCGCAGAGTTAGTGCGAGAGAGAAGGGGCGCGCGCGCGCGCGTGTGTGTGTATGTGTGTCCGTACGCAACTAGAGCCGCAATGCACAGTGATACCTGCCGCTAGCGGTGCGTCGCGGTGCGTTTTAGGGGCCGTCAAACAACTAGCTTGGCCCATGCGAGCCCCGCTGCCCAGAGCCCTGACCAACAGGAAGAAAAAGAGTGCAGTGTGCGTGATGCGGTGCATTTTTCGGGCGCATCCCCCGCCAGCGAGCCGGCCAGGCCCCAGCCAGGCCCCCGCGTCCCACGGGCCGTCTGTTGCGTTTGTCATTTCACACCGCATCACGCTGCATTCTCCACGCCCGGCGAGCCTCCCTCTCGCGACGCAGCGCGACGCGGCGCGACCCCGTTGCTTTGTGGTTCTTTATTAACCGACGTGTCGCCTAATTGGCCAGTGTGGTGCCGAGGGCCCCGCCGTGGACTCGCCGTGGGCCCCGCCGGGGGTACTGCCGCCTGGGTACTCCGGTGGGTACACTGCATTGAGCCCGAAGGAGGCCAGAGGCGCGGCGGCTGGGCTCCGCGCTGGCCCCCGCCACTGGTCTCAGCACCTTCAGTTCCGTCCTGTACTGCCCAATACAGTTACCTGGACTTTTTTCCAGGCCAACTGGGATTTTTCAGTGTGACAAACGCGCTGCTGCGTTCAGCTTTTGAAAAATAGACTTGCGCTCTTGGAGTAGTGTAAACTGGTGTCCACCTCGACAGCACTGCCCCGTTCCGGCGTGCCGTCGACCTAACCACCCTGCGGCTGCCCCAGGGCCTGGGGCCCAGGCTGCCTTAGGCTGCTTCAGGCCGCGTCGAGGCGGCGCGTTTTTGCTCGCTTGCCTGGCTTCATTGATTGTTGCGTGCATTTATACCTCCCCGCTGAGCGGTCTATTTAGCAGCAGGTATTGACTTGTGATGCCCGAGGTGGTAAACGCCGGGATCCATTCATTCCAGTAACCTCATAACGATACCCTGTGACTGACTCGCATATACATGCACACACACACACACACACACACACACACACACACCACACACACACACACACACACACACACACACACACACACACACACACACTTGAATGATGCTTGTTACTTCTCACGCCATGCTACTTAAAGCCCCCTGTTGCACGCTCTTCCATCCACCGCGAGAATAGTGATTACAAAGGAATCTTGCACTTACTCGTCTGTCTTTCTCGCTCTCTTTTTAGCTGAGCTGCTCCTCTTTTACAATGTGATTGTGTTATCGGCCGCCTCGCAGGTGGAACAGTTCTGCGCAACGAGCAGGGTCTGTCCTGGAGCCTGGGACTCTTCCTCTTTTCTTTTCGGCTACACTACAAACCTAACTGTCTACTAAGTACACACTTACAAATGCGTGCTTGCAAGTACACACTTACAAACGCATGCTTGGCCAAGTACACACTTACAAATGCATGCTTGCAAGTACACACTTACAAACGCATGCTTGACGCATGGAGTTATACGGCGTCAAGCATGCGTTTGTAAGTGTGTACTTGCAAGCATGCATTTGTAAGTGTGTACTTGGCCAAGCATGCGTTTGTAAGTGTGTACTTGCAAGCACGCATTTGTAAGTGTGTACTTAGTAGACAGTTAGGTTTGTAGTGTAGTGTCGACTCAAAGCCCTCGGAAGGAACACGCTCTCTCTCTCTCTCTCTCTCTCTCTCTCTCTCTCTCTCTCTCTCTCTCTCTCTCTCTCTCTCTCTCTCTCTCTCTCTCTCTCTCTCTCTGACGAAGAAATAATGTTATCCGAGAAAGACAAGGGAAACGACCGTTTGACGTGTTTACGTTGCCGCGGCAGTATCGATTTCACGGCACTGCAGGGGAAGGCAGGGACGGATTTGTCCCTTTGCTGACAAATTGCATCCCCAGCCGGACGCGCGACGCGACGCTAGCGACGCGAGCCAGAAGCCTCTTACGGCGACCCATAAATCAATTACAGTGAAAGTGCCATACCGTCCTTCCAATGAAACGGACTGAACGATGTCGCGCAGCTCGACATTTCTCTCTCTGTGTGTGTAGTGTGTGTGTCTGTGTGTGCGCGCGCTCTTCGACTTTTGCTGGCCGACTTGTCGACAGGAGCATCGCCAGCAGTGCAGCCAATGTCACTCTCATTTCGGCGAGTTTCAGCAATGAAAGTAGTCGTCGCGGATTTATTTTTATTCTTTCCGTGCGAAACGTTTATTGCCGGCTACCCCGGTGGCGGTATGAACGTCGGCAGGGAAAGAGAGAGAGGGGGGGGGGAGGGGAAAGAAGAAGAAGAGAATGCAGACAAAGCGATTAGCAGCCACGTTTGTCGAGCTGTTGCTGCGCCGCCGGTAAGAGGGCCACAGCCTGCCGCAGTCGGCCGGCCCGGCCCGGCCAGCGAACGTTCGAACAAGCGAGACAGACAGACGCAGCACTCGGCGCACACGCGCAGCGCAGCGCGGTGTCAGGCCGTGCACTTATTGCGGCAGCGGTTTCTATTTTTCCCGGCGATCCGCCTCGCCTCGCCTCGCCCGGAGCTCTCCACGACTGGCGCGCCAA